CCTCTGTTTATTTTTAATAGATTTATGTTAACTTCTTAACTTTTATAACATTAATTTAAAATAAGAATTTAATAATATATATATGCACAACAATTGAAAATTTTGTTTTCTTTATGTAATTCTTGTTAAGTATTTTTATTTGATAAAAAAAATTTAATTATTATTATATAATATGTTAAATTTACATTTAAAATTTATATCTGAAAAATTAAAAATTTAAATGAAATCTATTAAAAATGAATGGAGCAAGCATTATCTTTATAAAAGTACAACTCAGGTTGTCTTGGTAGCTTAAATGTTGTATATTTTTTGAAACTTTTTATATGCCTTTAATGAATTTTTTTTTGTTAATTCATTAAGGGTATTTTAATTTTTTCATTATTAATCTTAATATTTTAATTATCAAATGTAAAACAAAGGACAAAATGGTATGAAATATAAAATTATGAACGAGAAAATTATAAAAATATAATTAAAGAACTAAAAATGCATTTGGTATTGCGATTAAGAGTTTTTTCATGTAATTGTACAGTACTTTTAAATTTATGTGTGTTTGGTAATTTTTTATATATTTTTTTCTAAAAACTATAAAAAAACATAATAGATTTATAGCACTGGCAAAAGCCACCCACGGTGCATTCCCCCCTCCCCAGGGCTGAGGTTCGAACCCAGCCCCTTGTAAAATCTGTTCAAAAAAATAATAATAATAGATTTATAATAATTTTATATATATAATTAAAAGTCTCATTTTGGAGTTTTCTCCGTATAAGTTTGATGGAGAATATCTAATATTTAAAATAATTATAAAATTACTCATTAAAAACTAATTTTGTATAATTTAATTACATCATAATAAATAATATTTTAATAATTATAACAAATCTATAAAACCTAAATTATTAAAAAATAATAAATATTATATATTTTAATAATTATATAGTTTACAATATTGTTTAAATATTAATTAATAATTAATAAATCTATTATATTTCATTCATAATATTTTTAAGAAATAAGTAATCAAATATCAAAATAACTTTCAATTATAGTTACAGTACAATATAATTTAATACAATTATAATTATAACTACAATCAAAGCATTTCATAACAATTTCAAACACATTGTAAATCAATTTTTCCTCAAAAATTTAGAACGACTAGCAACGGGCATACCACGTAAAAGGTTTTCTTGTGATTTCTCTTGCCAGTGAAACACTAGCCTCCTAACACAAATTTAAACACGCATCAACATGAAATCTATTATACATAGCATGAGAAATCTATGACATAATACAGAAAATTTCTGATAATTTTCTTACTTGAAACTTGAAACATTTAATGAATTGAGTTTTTATTGACCGGAGATATCACTATAGTAGGAAAAATATTTCCCCACTATATTTCTACGTATGTATATATTCCTTTGTATATTATCTTTTCTTTTCTTTTCTTTTTTATTTTTTAAATAAATAAAATAAAATAAATATTATACAATTTAGACTGCACAATATAAATTATTAAATAAAATACAAATCTTCAAATATTGGGGGGTGAAAAGAAGTATAAAGACTACTTCGAATCTTAAAATCTATTCCCTTTAATTTTCTTTTGTATTTCTTTCTTTTTGTGGGGCAAATTAAAGGTAAAGGCATCATAAACAAAGTACGATTGTTAATGTAGTCTTTTCCCCTTTTTTTTTTTTTTTTTTTTGTTTTTTATCAGTCAAAACAAAGAATTTATTTACAAATCAAAGAATAAAGAGTATTCCAGCCCACACAAACTAAAAGTTCCTTTTCGCTGATTTATACACGACCCTGATTTTGTTGCAAGGCATACATCAACGATGCTGTTTTCTTGACCTTGGGATATAGATATATATACACACACTTGAATAGTTGAATTGCGACAATAGTGTTTGTTTCACTTTGAAAATTTTGGTACAGTTTAACAAACCCACCAATATATACATTGACAATGAAAAATATTGGTTTTGTAATATATTATTTTTCCTTTATATGGAAATATATTATTTTTTCTGGTTATATTAATGTATATTGGTTCTTCACTCTATGATATGAGACAAATCTTGTGTGACATCTAATTAACCCTATGAGGTGAGGTTCCCAATGGTCATCAATCCATTTTCCCCTTCAAGGAATTAAGGTCGTCGTTGTTCACGTTCTTTCTCTATCACAGGCAGACTAGCGGACTATCCTGGAGAAATAAAGATCTCTTTAAGATAGGTTAGAAAATGAAAAGAGGGAGAAATATTTGAGAGAAGATTTATTGTTTTCTTGATTAATAGTATAAGTATAATGATTTATATATAGATATTTATATAAAAATATTTTAAGTTATAAAATATTTAAAATAAATATGAATAGTATTAATATGATCTAAATAGTGTAAATAATTGATTATCAATTATTGTATTTATATCTTAACAAGATAATAAATAGGCATGTGGGTTTTTAATTAATATAATTTCACAAATACCTATAAATTGTAATGTCCTATCCATAGATATTAAGTTTGTTTTCATCTTTAGGGGTGACAACTATGTCTCATTGCTATTATTTATATCATTATTTATATCCAAATAATATTAAAGATACTTAAATCTCCATTCTCAACATAGTGTAAATTATTCATTAACCACTTGGGCTGAACCCACTAGATTAATTAGGTATAAAGAATATTTCCACATATTTATAATTTTCAATATAATTAACATTTTAAAAAATCAATCATTGAATTATTGTTCTATTCATATATGTCATACCCTTGTCAGATTTCAAGTGTATATTTTATCGGGAATTAACAAATCATATTTGCTAATACATACTTAATGATATAAAATTTTGTGTGATCAATAAAATAGTAAATATATTGAATTAATATGAATTTAGCATATATAATTTATATAATAGAATAATTAATTTATTGATTGTTAGTTTTTTAAATTATTAATTATACTAAAAAGTATTAGCATGTATAAGAGTTTCTTATTGTTATTAGTGCAAGTTGATCATATTATAGCTCCTCCGTTTAACTTTAGCGGTGATAATTTGCGCTTTTTTTAAAAATTTTTTAAAAATAAAATTCAAATAAAAATTTAATAATTTATATGAACAATAATTAAATTTATTTTTTTCTATACGTAATTTTTGTTAAGTATTTTTATTTTAAAAAATTTAATTATTATTTGTATAATATGATAAAATTTCATCTAAAATT